GTGCCGCTGTCCTGCAGAGTTTAGCTCTAACCCTAATCAAACACACCTGAACAATCAAGGTCTTCAGGATTACTAAGGCTACAGACTAGTGAGTTTTTTTTTTTTCAGGGTTGGAGCTGAACTCTGCAGGACTGCGGCTCTCTAGGACCGAACTTGCCTACCCCTGGTATAGGGAAAGAAGTACCCTTAATTCTACATGGTGTGATGTGACTGGTTTCTGAAAGTTCTCCATCTGATTGACCCTGTTGTGCTGTCGTCTTGTCTTCTGCAGTGCTGAGCATCAGAGGTGTACAGGAGGAGGACCCTCCAGATCCCCAGATCATGCGTCTGGATAACATGCTGCTGGCCGAGGGAGTGTCTGGGCCCGAGAAGGGCGGCGGATCAGCGGCGGCGGCCGCAGCTGCAGCAGCGGCTGGAGGATCACCTAATGACAGCAGCATCGAGCACTCAGACTATAGAGCCAAACTCGCACAGATCCGCCAGATCTACCACTCCGAACTAGAGAAATATGAACAGGTGAGACTCAGACCCCCGTCTGACCTTTTAAGTAATTTCAGCAGATTCTTGTGGGTTTGTGTATGTAATTGTTTCTTTTTTCTTTTTTCAAATCAAATTTACTGATTTCATCCACTGGTGGAGTGATAATGAGAGGGAAGTAATAATGATGTCTTTCAGAAATTTTAGGTTTTATTTCATATACATATTTGCCATTCAAACGTTTGGCTTGTTTTTTTGTCCAAGAAATTTATTAAGTTAAGAAATTAATACTTTTATTCAGCAAAGAAGCATTAGAGGCTTCTTTCAAAAACTTTTAATGGTAATGTATATTTGCATGTATGTAATGATCCTCAAATCTATTTGAAAACAGGCTTGCAGTGAGTTCACCAATCACGTGATGAACTTACTGAGGGAACAGTCCCGCACACGGCCTATCTCGCCCAAAGAGATCGAGCGCATGGTGGCCATCATCCACCGCAAGTTCAGCTCCATCCAGATGCAGCTCAAGCAGAGCACCTGTGAGGCCGTCATGATCCTTCGCTCTCGCTTCCTTGATGCCAGGTGTATATGGATGGGAGTGTAGACGAGGTGCTCGTATAGGTGTGAGCGATGGACTCGTAGCAGGAAGTTGACAGAGGTCTTGCTTTAATTCAGTGCCGGAGAGGTGTGTACTTATGGCTGCTTGTGCTTATAGTGACAGTACATGCTCCGCTATTATTGGACCAGTGCCTCGTGCTCCGGCATGCCACTGAGGTACCATGCTGCCCTCTGCTGCCTCAGCCAGGAATTGCACACTTAATTTAGTAGTTTCTATGGTATAGGGCAGGGGTAGGCAAGTTTTTTTTGTCCAAGAAATTTATTAAGTTAAGAAATTAATACTTTTATTCAGCAAAGAAGCATTAGAGGCTTCTTTCAAAAACTTTTAATGGTAATGTATATTTGCATGTATGTAATGATCCTCAAATCTATTTGAAAACAGGCTTGCAGTGAGTTCACCAATCACGTGATGAACCTGCTGAGGGAACAGTCCCGCACACGGCCTATTTCACCCAAAGAGATCGAGCGCATGGTGGCCATCATCCACCGCAAGTTCAGCTCCATCCAGATGCAGCTCAAGCAGAGCACCTGTGAGGCCGTCATGATCCTTCGCTCTCGCTTCCTTGATGCCAGGTGTGTGTCTGCTTGTTTGATCTGTGGCTGTTTCAAATGTAGGTGTCTTATTCTGTTGTGCTGCACTATTCCACTAATTATCAATGAAACACTCCACTTACTTTGTCCTCAGACGTAAGAGACGCAACTTCAAACTTCAAGAAGCAAAGGTGCTGAATGAGTTCATGATCCTTCGCTCTCGCTTCCTTGATGCCAGGTGTGTGTCTGCTTGTTTGATCTGTGGCTGTTTCAAATGTAGGTGTCTTATTCTGTTGTGCTGCACTATTCCACTAATTATCAATGCATTTTTCCACTTACTTTGTCCTCAGACGTAAGAGACGCAACTTCAATAAGCAAGCCACAGAGGTGCTGAATGAGTACTTCTACTCTCACCTCTCCAACCCTTACCCCAGTGAGGAAGCCAAGGAAGAGTTGGCCAAGAAATGTGGGATCACTGTCTCTCAGGTATAGTCGCGCATGGCCTACAAATGTCCCATGTGTATTGCAAAACCTGAAATCCAGTTTTCCAATAATGGCGCGTTAGGAAAAATGTCCTGGAAAATATTTTTTTTCCGGCCCCATTTTTATTTTAATGAAATTTATGCAGCTTTGCCAAACAAGTTTTTCATAAAATATAGAAATTACAGGATCATTTAAGCATCAGTAATTAGTTTGTTGAGATATGTCCTGTCAATAACGTTGCATCATGTCCATAATTCTGCTGTTAGCACCTGAGTGTCATGAAACAACTAAAAAAATCACAAGCAGATACAGATCAGTCTCTGCTTAAGCATTATTTCCATTCTCCTAAGTAGTTAGTGATGGGAATTACTGACATCACACATTTCGCAAAGATAAGCACTTTTTGCCCATATTGCAGTGATTTAAAAATATTATGAAAAGTCTGTCGTCATTTATTCACCCTTATGTTGTTCCAAACTCGTAAAAGTTTGGTTCATCTTCGAAACACAAATGAAGAGATTATTAATGAAACGTGAGTGATTTCTGTCCCTCCATTGAAAGTCCTTTACACCAAAACCTTGATGCTTCAAAAAGTTCATAAAGACAAGTACATTACAAAAGTAATTCATGAGAATCGAGTGGGTTAATCCAAGTTTTCTGGTAACTTAATATGATGAACAAATTTAATTTAGGCTTTTATTCACACATAAACATTGATTATTGCACATACATAGAGCACATCAAATATGGTAAACAGAAGATAAAACATACCAGCGTAATTATTAATCATAATATATTCATTTGTGTTTTGGAAAAGTCTTTCAGGTTTTAAATGACATGACTTTAACTGTATTTTCAGTTTTTAGGTGAACTATCCCTTTAACTACAACTGCAGAGTTGAGCTGTGAACTTGTGCTGCGTTCACATCATGTCAGACTTCCCGTAATTACAAGTTTCCCACTTGTAAAAAACTGTTCATGTTTGTTGAACTCCTAATAACAAGTTGGAAACATTTTATGACCGCTCCATTTCCTCCCACGTAACTTGTGAAGTCAAAACAGCCAAAATAGCAGCAGCTTCAAAAGTTACAGTTAGCAACTTCTGCACATTTCTGTTTGATCAGTCCACAGAAATTATTTTAGTGCAGAAATTCTTTGACTAACAATAGAAGAAACAATTAGGAAACATTTGCAGCTAATGTTAGCAAAAATTTGTGTGATCAGAGAAGCTACAGCTATCATGTACAGTTGACATTAGATATCTAGATGGCTACCTACATAATGGAATGAGATGACATTTTGAACAATTTGTTGATAAATTATTATTATTATTTTATTTATTTAATTTTTTGATATCACTCAAAAATGATTTCACAAGAAGGAAGTCTTATTCAACATTTCCTAATGGCAGATGGGCTACTCTTGTTTCCAGTGTATGTTTTTGATTCAGCTGTGATGAAAACAAGATGCAGGAAGCACCGTTAGAGGGAACCTTCTAATTGAGTGCATTGCAGAAATATTCATTTAAAAATCATTTCTGTAAATAAATGATGGCAGTATACCACACTACCTTTGAAAAGTTTGGGGTCGGTAAGATTTTTTTAAAGAATCATTTCTCTTATTCATACCAAGGCTGCAATTATTTAAACCGTGATACTGTGAAATATTGGTACAATTTGAATATATTTTGAAATGTAATTTATTCTTGTGATGCAAAGCTGAATTTTCAGCATAATTACTCCAGTCTCCAATGTCTCATGATCCTTCAGAAATCATTCCAGTATGTGGATTTATTATAAGTGTTGGAAACACTGCTTAATATTTTTGTGGAAACGGTGATACATTTTCCCAGGATTCTTTTGATGAACAAAAAATTTAAAAGAACAGCATTTAATTAAAATGGAAATCTTTTGTAACAATGTAAACGTCTTTACTGTCACAATCAATTTAATGCATACTTGCAGAAAAACAGTAGTGTAAACTGCAGTTGTGTAAGTTTAGTTCAGCAGAAAGCAGTGACATCGGCTGGATGAGCACAGAATGAGAATCAGTGTTAGAATCCTTTAAATTAAAATTTTAATTATTTGAAATGTACAGTAATGTCTTTTAGTTGTAGTTCACTGTGATGAAATTGTTGTCTGATTAGAGTTGTTTCACCTCAGGTCTCGAATTGGTTTGGCAACAAGAGAATTCGGTACAAGAAGAACATTGGTAAGTTCCAAGAGGAAGCAAACCTGTACGCCGTTAAAACAGCCGTGGATGCTGCCAATGTGTCGGCACAGGCCAGCCAGGCAAACTCTCCAGCAACACCCAACTCAGGTAAAGTGCACAGCAGCCCACCCATCATCTCTAGCAGATAGTGAAGCTACACTACGCACACCACTTGCCACAATCACACTCCTGTCTACATGCGCTTCATGCTATTTTCTTTCCATTTCAGTTCTGTTCTCAAGTCTGTTCTTGTCTGTCCATCTTTTTTCCCTGTCATAGAGAATGCTTGTTTGTTTGTATTTGCATCATGCACTTGCTGGGTGAGATTTAGATGTTGTCGATCTGGGTTGCGCTGTAAAGCTGATCTGATTGTATCTAGGTAACAGCTGTTTTGTAAACATCTTCAGGATAAATCCGTCATAGTGTTGTTTTTCTTTGGACCTGGGCGGTATGACGGCATACATCACACATTCGTAGAAAAGTGTTTATGAATGGGTATTGTTAGGCACAACATGACACAGAGTTTAGTTTACGGTTACATAACAACATCACATTAATATGACATTGTATAGATAGGAAGCTGATGTGCGATCACAGGTTTCAGGCTCAGTCAGTGTTTTTGAACTTATGCCAGACTTGTTTATTTGTTATGAATAATCGTATTTTTTGTTTCACATCCATCATGTTACAGAGGAAAAAATGCAAATGAAAACTACTTCATCTCATTTGATTAAAGCAGGGTTTCCCAAACCGGGGTGTGTGAGGAAACTGCAGGGGTTTTGTAAGTTCATGAAAAGCTAAAAATGACTTAAATCATTAAAAAATATATATATTTTTAATAAATCAATAAAGATTAAGGTAAATAAATGATAAACTATTATTATTATCCATACAAAAACAATTACTGAAAAGTTTAAATCTATTCATTTTCCTACATGTCATGTGACCATTAATCGTGAACATGCAAATATGTTGTTAAATTATTAAAATATTAAATTAAAATCTCAAGGGATACTTAAGTAATTATTTGGCTGACTTTGGGAATCCCTGGATTAAAATATTTAATCAGAATTGGATTGTCTAAATGTGGACGTGACCAAATTGTTGTTCAATTAAACATTTGTCTGTTGAATTTCCATCATGTTATATGAAGTCACTTATGATTTTGATCATACCTCCCACTCTCATCTCTGGCCATCTGAACATTTACTTTCATTTCTGGTTTTGCATGACTGTTTCCTCTAAGGCAGAGGTAGGCAAACTTGGCCCTTCCAGGCCACTTTCCTTCAGAGTTTAGCTCCAACCCTAATCAAACACACCTGAACCAGCTAATCATTGTGTTCAAGACTTCTAGAAGGCTACAGGCAGGTGAGTTTTATCAGGGTTGGATCAAATCTCTGCAGAAAAGTGGCCTGGAAGGGCCAAGTTTGCCCATCACTGCTCTAAGGCTATGGCAATAACCAATAACTTTCCATTGATGATTCCCTCTTTTTTTTTTTTTTTTTTTATCTCTGCCTAAATTCTTGATGCTGTTTTGGCTTTTTATTTGTTTAACATTTTCATTTTACTTTCATATGCACATGCACATCCACACACACTTGTTTAGAGTAGTTGAACCTCTATTTGCTCAGGAAGCAGAATGGATAAGGTAGGTGATTTAACTTGGTGTCGTCATTTTTAACAATACTCTGTCAACACGTATATTTTTAAACCCCATCCACATATCCTGTTACATATCCGGTGGCTGGCGTACCAACAATGCATCTCATCATCTAGAGGAAGTAGGATGTCGAGTTGTATACCTTCATGTAACGCAACAGTCCGCATCAGCACATACGTGATCGCTGCTTCCCATTGTTCACCTGTTTTGTTCTGTCGTCTCTAGTCAGCGGAAGTAGTCAAACAGAATGATTCCCTCCTTTTTTTTTTTTTTTGTTTATCTCTGCCTAAATTCTTGATGCTGTTTTGGCTTTTTATTTGTTTAACATTTTCATTTTACTTTCATATGCACATGCACATCCACACACACTTGTTTAGAGTAGTTGAACCTCTATTTGCTCAGGAAGCAGAATGGATAAGGTAGGTGATTTAACTTGGTGTCGTCATTTTTAACAATACTCTGTCAACACGTATATTTTTAAACCCCATCCACATATCCTGTTACATATCCGGTGGCTGGCGTACCAACAATGCATCTCATCATCTAGAGGAAGTAGGATGTCGAGTTGTATACCTTCATGTAACGCAACAGTCCGCATCAGCACATACGTGATCGCTGCTTCCCATTGTTCACCTGTTTTGTTCTGTCGTCTCTAGTCAGCGGAAGTAGTCAAACAGATTATCATGACCGTCTTGGATTTGGGAATGTGGCTTGTCCTGATATTCATGCTCCGCATAGACAGCAGACGGATTTTCACCACACACTGTAGGCTTTTCTAAAACCCAACCCAGGCAGGGTTGTGTGCCTGATGGGCTGCGTGTATTGCTGCAGGGTCTTCTGGGTCGTACACCCTCTCTCACGCAGGAGACGCCTACCTCGGGCTGCGTTCACTCGACGAGGATGGCGTCAGCGTCACTCCCGCTGTGCAGCAGCAGCAGGTAGGCACTGAGGACGTCCCCTCAATGCCCTTCCTCTTCCATACCTGCTCACAGTGTAGTGCTCTCTTCCCCTTTCCCCAAAGCTACAGCCCCAACCTGTGACATTCGCCTTAGCGGATACTTAGAAGTGTAGAGCTCTATCCTGGAAACGAACTCCACCATCTTCCCTGTGGCATTGCTTCATTTCATTTCTTCTGTCATGTCCTTGGCCATTCCTTTGTCTCCTTCCTGTTAGATGAACGCTTTTCATCAAGGGCTCAACAGTAAGGATGTACTACTGATGTTTTGGGTCAGTGTTTCTGAACAGTCACCTGCCCCATCACACCACTACTACATGTGTTTTTATGACTCGCAAATTTCGAAGTGTAATGTCCTGTGAATTTTTTTTCTTCCTATAAATACAACTTTTGTACTTGCCTAAGGTTATTTTTTTAATTAATAAATGTTTTAAATAATTTATTTTAAATATTATTCATTTTTATTTTTAACATTGTATATTAGAATTAAATGTCTTAATTGCACTACTGTTAAAGTTTGTTTTGTAATGTTTTTGAAAAAGTCTATTATGTGTTATAAGTAGGGATGCAGCGATACCGATACTGGCCTCCTGCACCTCATACTCGTTAAAATGCCCCGATACCAAACGCCGATACCACACAGCATGTGATAAGCGCCATATTCAAACAAAGAAACACTGACAACAGACAGCAGAAAGGAGTTATGGATGTCTACTACGAGTTTCTGTACCCAATATTTAAAAAATGTACAAATGCAATAAAAATATTGGTATCGTCATCGGTATCGGCAAGTACCAAAAATAAAAGTATCGGTATCGGGCGAGTACTGGAAAAAGTGGTATCGGTGCATCCCTAGTTATAAGTCATAAATATTTATGTTAAGAGAATTTTAAATTTTATTTAAAAAAAATTTTAAAGGCAGTGTAGGTGATTTGGTTCAAAAAAATTTGTTATGCTGGTTGAAAGTCTCTTCACATCCCGATAGCAATCACTAATTGGTCTAAATGTATTTAGACGTATTTATATCATCTGTGGAAGCCATAGGACCATAAAATGTTTGACCAATCATATCCTTCAGGCCGAGGGCTATGATAGGCTGTTCTACCTGCCTGTCAACATTCGTGCAGATATGATACGTCATCAGCACGTTCCATTACACTATTGCAGACCGAGTGAGAATGTAAGGTGTTATTATTGTAATATTATGTGCTTATGCTTTGTACTGTTCTCACCGTTGAATGAGACATGAGGTAATCTGACAGCACTGCATTCAGTCCTCCATCAGCGCCGTCTCTCATCGTGTCTCTGGTCTGCCTTTGAGAACTTTCAAATGTTTCTGATTGATATACATATCTGATGTGTGGTAATGTTATTCACATCTAAACACTTAGTTCTCATTCTTTTCTTATATTTCAGTTTTTCTTTTTTAATAAATCTGCAAAAATGTCAACAATTCTGTGTTTTTCTGTCAATATGGGGTGCTGTGGGTACATTAATGAGGAAAAAAAATTAACTTAAATGATTTTAGTAAATGGCTGCAATATAACAAAGAGTGAAAAATTTAAGGGGGTCTGAATACTTTCCGTACCCACTGTGTGTATATATATATATATACACACACATTTAATGGTCTGGTTTTAAAATCAAAAGAAACATGAAATGTGCTACTATATCAGTTTGAGCCACTAAAGAGCGCAGAGTGGATCACTTTACATGAGGGATGCACTGAAATAGTGCAGTGCAAATCAGTTTGGACTAAAAGGGATAGTTTGCCCAAAAATGAAAATACTGTCATCATTTACTCACCCTCATGATGTTTCAAACTCAAAAGACTTTCGTTCATCTTCAAAACACAGATGAAGATATGTTTAATACTCAATTATCATTTTTGTCTTTCCATTGAAAGTCTGTGCAACAAAACTTTGACACTCATAATCCTTAACAATCAAGTCTTCTGAAGAGACACAATCGCTTTAATATGCCGAACCAATTCAATTTAGGCCTTTATTCACACATAAACATGTCAGTTATGTCAGAATGTTCATTTTCTTTTATGAACTATAAACAGACAGGGCATCATCATATTAGAGAATGATGTGGTATAGGCAGTGCATTGACTCTGAACTGATACATATATAAAATGATATTTATTTAATATGAGTTTGTTTGTGTTTGTGAGCATAAATATGGAAAATGTCATTAATGTAATGTATTTGTGGTGATGCTGTTATGTGATGTATGTGTGCTACAGGTGGATATCCTGCACCGTGCTACACACCTGACGGCAGGCTATGAAGATTTGTCAGGAAGTCCTCTTTACACCCCACACCATCTAAACGTGAGTACAGCACTGACACACACACACACACATTTTCAAGCAACAGACTGCTTGTTAAAAGAAAAATTAAACCATTTGCTATTTGTGTAAAAGTTAGAACCTGGAATGATTTTCAGTTAAATTTCACAAAGAGCATTAATCTGATGAGAATCTCTGTTGCTCTTCGTGTTGACGTAGACCTAAAGATCATTGATCATTCTGCAATTTGTGGCTTGTATGTTTCCTGTTTCAACACGTTTTATGTTCTGGTGTGAATACTCTCTAGATGCTTATCAGTCAGCTGCAGCTAAATACTGTTACTGTATGGACACACTATTTGAACAAACTCCTAACACTAAGAATTAAATAAATTTTTATAGAAATTCTTAAATAATTTTAGGGATGCACCGATACCAATTTTTCCAGGACTCGCCCGATACGGATACTTTTATTTTTGGTACTTGCCGATACCGAGTACCGATACCATTATTTTCATTGCATTTGTACATTTTTTTTAAATATTGGGTACAGAAACCAAAAGAGTATGTATAATGTTGGCATGCTGTCAACCAGGTTCATGCAAACCACCTGAACTTCAATTTTTTTCCTAGACTCGGTCTGAATAATTTTTGGTCCCAAATTTGTATCAATTTTACTGGTAGTCCACTGTATGAAGAATTTTTGGGTATAATATTTCACAGTTTACTTTATTTTGCTATCCTCACTTGCTGTCCTACACCCACTAGTAAAAAAAAATATCAAAAATTATAAATGGTCTCTGAATAATTTTTGGTTTGACTGTATATCCTTCTGTTATTTTCACACTTAATTATGCCCATTAAAATGTATTTTACAAGTTTTTGTTACTTTCACTGTTCATTTTTTTCTCTCTCTATGGTAGCCTACATCTTTAATTTAATAGCATTAGAGCTGCTCCATTGCAACGGGTTAATACTGTAATCACGCGCTTTGCTGTAAAAACGCAGGGAACCACTCGTTATAAATCTCCTAACTGTGATATTTTCAGAAATAGAAGTCGCGTTTTTTCATCTGAAACGTGCAGCGATTTATTTTCCAAAGCCACTCATATAATGCAGAAACACTCATGAAGCAAGCAAAACACGCGCAACGCGTGCACGTATTTGTACTGGTGCAGAATGAGAGGGACAAGTACAGTACAGCCTAGCGCATTTCACACAGGCTGTTAGTTTAACTTTCGCCAGAAAGTCGTGTATGCTTAAGAGTGAACATAAATGACGTTTATAGTGGATGCCCTTATAAATTGTCTTATATTTACGATTTAGTTTTAATCCAAATGATGCGTGCTAAGTGAGCGAAACCAATAAAGATCACACAACAGAAGTGCGCGCTCTCTCTCTCTCCCTCCCTCCCTACCAACCATTAAGTAACTTGTGCGTTGTTTTACTTACTACTTTTTGACATATCTGACAGAACTACAAACTGCGGGGCATTTTAAAGAGTACGAGTACAGGAGCTCAGTATCGGGCCCGATACCGATACCAGTATCGGTGCATACCTAAATAATTTGAAGTATTATGCCGTTTTATATCTTTTTTTAATTATTATAATTACACTACCGTGCTGAAAACATTGAGGTCGGTAAGATTTTTTTTTACTGTTATTGAAAGAAGTCTGTTATGCTCACCAAGGCTGCATTTATTTGATCGAAATACAGTAATATTATGAAATATTATACCAATTTAAAATAACTTAAAATATATTCTATTTAAATAGATTTTCAAAAGTTGTATTTCTGTGATGCAAAGTTTAATTTTCAGCATTATTACTCCAGTCTTCAGAGTCACATGATCCTTCAGAAATCATTTTAATATGCTGATTTGCTGTTCAAGAAACATTTCTCATTATTGTCAATGTTAAAAACAGTTTTTTGTGGAAACCTGATACATTAAGTATTCATTTCTTTTAAAATATTCTTGCTGACCCTAAACTTTGGAATGGGAGTGTATCATTTTCATATAAATACACAATGATTTCATTCATCTATATACAATATTCCATACATCCTTATTGTTTTGCTGCAAATTGGTTGCAACCCTATGGTTTCCAGTCACTGCTTCTGACTTTCTCACAAAACAATCTGTCCTGCATTGTTCAACGTTGTTTTAAGCACAAATCCTGTCAATAACACTTTTTCTTTCTTTCTTGATATCTCTTTGGATTTGAGACTTTAGTCTTTGCAACTTTACAGATCTTCTTTATGCACCAAGAGCTTGTAACACTCCAAAGAGAAAGAAAAAATTTAAATCGCATCATATGACCCCTTTAAAAAGTCTTGTTTCATTGCCTGTGCTACTTGACCTCATACATGTGACTCTCTCCACAGGCTAACAACAGCTGGCAAGACAACACCAACCCTTCCTCCATCACCTCTCCACCAGGACCACCTGGCAGCATCCACTCTGACACCTCCAGCTAATGAGGCTGACGCTACACACACACACACAGAGCATCTCATCATCCAGTCTCGCCCGTTCTCTCCTGCTCACAGCTTTCGTCCTTCACTCTAGCAGATGTCAAAGGTCTTCCATAGTCCTCATTCCACTTGGTGTGCCAGGGTTCACACGCTGGACCAGACTGAAACACACGCACACGCACTCCTCGAGCAAAAGACGCACAACGTCACATTTGCTGAGGATGAGAAAAAACACACATCCTCCTCAAAGGTCTTCACAAAGGGTGGACGGTCTATGCCCAACTCCATGTTACCTTTCCTGTTTCGACCTGTCATGATGGGGATTACGCAACAGCTCCCTCCTCGCTTGTACCAAAGTGCTGTCAACGGTTGTTGCACCTTCTGCTCTTCGTAGAACAACCTCAGACAACTAAACCATGAAAACGCCATTCAGCCTGTTTTTTAATATGGTTTCCAGTCGCTGCTTCTGGCTTTCTCACAAAACAATCTGTCCTGCATTGTTCAACGTTGTGTTAAGCACAAATCCTGTCAATAACACTTGAGCTGCTGGTTGGATGGAGAGAGAGAGAGATCCAGATCCATCAGTGTAAAGGTACGCTGGACATTTGAACACTCTGACTAGCTGATCGCAGGAGAGTACGGTGTGCAACGAGGGAAACGTGAAGAGTTCACCGAAGAGCGATAGATGTGCGGTCGGCTACTACGTGTTTCCTCAGTCCACTGTCTCAACAGAGAGACCTTGTTTTGAATAGTTTAGCTACAGTATTTTTTCCTGCAGCCTTTTGTCCCCCTCAGAGATGCACCAGCCACCAAATAAAAGACTCGACAAGAACTCTAAGCCCTTGTGTTCGGGAAAGGGGTTGGACGGATAGCTGGAGTATTCGTTTGGGTATTTAGAAATATTTTTAAAGGGAAAGAAAAAAAAATGCCACTGTCTTCCATGCATGTAGGGTGTTGAGATGTTTTAGTGATTCCATTTAGCCTAACTTTTATTTTTAATTTTTTGACATAAAAAAAATATTGTAAAAGGAGAGGGTGTGAGGAACAGACCAAATAAACAAATGAACTTCTCCAGAAATTAAAACGTCATACTGCCCAATCCAGTACTTCGTGCTGGTGTTTGGTGATATTTTATCGCACGTTTTCACAACAGGCATCCGCGACACACCGACCACGTTTCGCGAAAACCTTTCTGAGGAGGCCATAGCAGCTAACCAATCATTCTGACCACGTAAACCGTTACAGATATCATGACGTTTTTTTGGTTTGCCGTGTGCTATGGCCTCTCATGTTACTGTGTTGTGTGTGTACGGGTGTCTGTTTTCTAAGGGTTGGGTCGTCTAGTCACTCACTCGTGCTTTTGAACTGATTGTATTGTACGTGCAATTGAAAGCACCTGTTCCTTGGTAAAGCATGCGGTCTTTTTTTTTTTCTTTTGTTGTTGTTGCCTACAATTTCACTAAACAAAGGAACTCTGTTGTTTTGTAGTCAGTTAACATAGCCAAGCAACAAGGGCTTTTCTCCTTTCAAATTTAACCAAAAATAAGCACTGGATGTGTTGTGATTTGAAACAGATGGACTAAAGCTAGTAGAGGAACATCAGATGAATTTATATTTACTTTTTCCAGACAAGTTGTTTGTATTCCCGGAACTTGTTTTTATGTTTTGCGTGGGTTTTTTTTCCCCCTCTATTTTTTTTCCCCCAAGTTTACCTTTAGTCGCGGAAGCACCAGGGCGTTTTGATATATGAATGGAAATTCTATATATTACACAAAGGACTAAATAACATTGAAATGTAAATTGGGGTTTTGTTTATATGTACACATGGAAAAACTAACTCTGAGGAGCTTTCCCAGTTATTATTGTGTCCTCTATAGATTACTGTTAGTTATAAACATTTCATATGGATATCTCCAACTAATGCTATTACTACACCAAATTTCTTTGTTTTTGTTTTTTTTCTATCAGTCATCTATGGATGTCACTGTACAGATTGTGGAATGTTTCAGTGTATTTTCTCTTTTTGTATGCTTTTATTTTTGTTGTTTTTTTTTAAGCGCTGGGGGCTTTGGATTCACTCATGAGCAAGAGTAATATTTGTTAGTCTTTGTAATATTCATTTTAGCGTTTCATTTACATTTGATTTGGATCGGGAGTCTCGAGTGTTATTTTTGTTGTGTGTGTGGTTTCGTCAAAGCTGGTAGCATTTGTTTGAGGTGCTGTGAAAATCCCACTACTAACTGACAAGAAGAAAAATAGGAATACATTTGGAGTAAATGCATAAGCTATGTAACAGAATAATGATTTTGAACACTACATATCATAGGTAGATTTGGAGTTCCTAAATGTCTTTTTCCCCAAAAGTGCATCCATAGAATCTGTTTGGAAACTTGGGGTTATGATCTGAGGTGGATTCCACAGCACCGTATCAAATGACATCAGCATTTTTTTCTCGATTTTTATCATTATTTTACTAGAATTGTAGTACACGCTTCCTTCTGTATTTACCATTCTCTCCCTCCTCTCTACCTCTCCTCTCTCCATTTCACTTGTATATAAACCCCACCATTTTCAGACTTGGTAGTCTGTATAAACTCCTTTTATACCTCAACTTTAGAACTGTTCTAGTGAGAGCGAAAAAAAAGAAATATGAGAAAATTGTAGTGTTCCTTATTAGAAAAACAAAAACTAATAAAATAATCTAGTGTGCTTTTGAGCCTGTAGTTTTTTTTCTTTTCTTGTTGCTGTTCATTAAGGGGCTATTTGCATGTTACAATCCGTAAAATGATCTGGTTAAGGCAGTTATGAATGGGTCTCGCCCTGCCTGAATATTTATGCGGCATAAGGACAATAATATGAGGATCACAATAAATCAGACCTTTTCTCCTCATCGCAAATTGATTATGTGGGTGAAATGAAACAGCCCACAGTCTGCACAGATTAGAAACATGGCAAAACCAGACATCAGGAATCAGGGCCATTGTTCGTTTCAGGCTTTCTAGATCAAAATATTTCTGAAGAAAAGTCAACAATTCATGATCATAAGAATCGAATATCATTTATCAACAAAACCGATCACCGCCATGATGTCAGGGTGTCCCTGTGTGGTTGCTAGGGTTGCTGTTAGTATGTTGCTTGGTTTTTACACAGTGGTCCAAGTCTGTGTTACTCTGGTCTCAGTATAAGGCAAAGCTCCTTTTTCGGTTTAAGTTTATAGGATTTCAATGCCAATGTCTTATTATTAGGGTTTTATGAGGGTAAATTTAAAGGGATAGTTCACCCAAAAATGAAAATTCTGTCATTAATTAATCTGTCAGCTGCGTCACGCGGATATGTTGTTTTCGTTCAAATCAAAGCGTAAACAACGTAGAAAACGTATCCGCGTGGCGCAGCTGACACAGAATAGCATACGCTGTTTACGTTCAGTGGATATTCTCCAAAATGGCACCAGGGTGACACGGAGGAGACGAATTGTTGAATAAAGTCGTTATTTTTGTTTTCTTTGCGTACAAAAAGTATTCTGGTAGCTTCGTAAAATTACAGTTGAACCCCTGATGTCACATGGATTATTTTACCGATCTCTTTGCTACGTTTCTGGACCTTGATCGTGGTAATTACATTGCTGTCTATGGGAGGGTCAGAGAGCTCTCAGAATTAATCAAAAATATCTTAATTTGTGTTCTGAAGATGAACGGAGGTCTTACGGGTTTAGAACGACATGAGGGTAATTAATGACAGAATTTTCATTTTTGGTTGAACTATCCCGTTAAGGGAACGGTATGTCGGTATGTTCTTAAATGTGAACATCTAGGGAAAAAATTGATTAGTTGTATTAGCAATACGTCGAAGTTTAAAAATACAACTTCCAACCAATCTCGATTACTTTTTAATTAATTTTATGAGGAAAAAAAGGCGTATGGCTTGAATATGTCTGCTCCCAACTACTAGAATATGGAAATAACTTCTGATCACATCGCGAAAGTGATGTTCTTCCTCAGTATTTCCGTCTTGTTTTTCAGTGCAAATGTCTAACGATCTTAAAACAAGATACTTGCGGAACAAAATGACGTAAGAAGTGAGTTTATAATTAAAACAATAACAAATATCTGCCAGTGGACTCAGAAAAGTCAACTTAATTCAAAGGCAAAACAAGCTGTCATACCCCATTGACAGATGCTTGTTTGTGCTAGAAGCATAAATTCAGTTTTGTGCAAATTGTTCAATAATATACATTTGCATCTCAAATGCTATGTTTAGATTTTTCTATTGGAAAATAAATATACATGGGAAGATATAAATGTTTTGCAATGCATGCAACATTAAAGGGGTCATATGATGTTGCTAAAAAGAACAAAGGAAAAATTGAAATCGCATCATATGACCCCTTTAAATGCCATTACTTCTGCTCTGATTTAAGACCCACAGAGACCCTGTATTATGCTTTTTTTGATTGCTTTTAGTGTGTAATACATGTAAACGATCTGCAGTTACAACGTACAAACTCTACGCCAAAGCGAGTTCACTCCAACAGAAAACACTTGCCTGAAACTCCTCATTTGTAGTTCTACCATTACTTCTGTGGCTACATCACCGTGTTCGAGATTTGCATAATGTCCGCCTACTGGCTGCTTTGGCCCGCCCTCAAAGAACAGTTGTGTAAGTGATTTCATATGTCGAGGAGACGCTGTTTTTTTGGGGGGGTTTTTTCACCACAAGGGCAAAAAACATTGCATGGACTTCTAACAACCACGGCATAGTTACCATACATATAATGCCGTTTACAGCTGCTCATGAAGCCTCAGGAGCTGAAATCTGATTATGGCAAGGGGCATTACATTTCCGACATGCTTTAGGCAGTTGACCAATCAAAGCAGAAAAAAAAGCAAAAAAAGTGGGCTTTAAATACATAGGAAAAGAGGGTGAAACGAGTTGCTGCAGCAATGTACAGTATGGAAAAAAATGTCATGTACATGTATTCAAGTAGACCCCTAAAATAAAACTACCTAAAAATAAAACTTGTACTTGTGAATGAGCACAATATGGCCACTTTAAAATGAAAATCGGCAAGTCTGATTTGTTAGTAAAAAAAATAAATAGCACCAAAATAGAGCACAAAAGTTGTCGGTTTTAGATCTGGTATATTTCGGTTTCTGATCTCATTCCCAACAAAACAAAATGGTCCAAAAAGGGCCGTTTTATGAATATTAATGCTTTTGCTTTGGGAAAAGAAAAACTTCCTGTGAGCAGCCAAACTGCCTGTGCCTCGTAACTCAACGACACAAAAGACCCCTAATACATCTATTGTCAAAAAGAGAAAAATATGTACCAAAACAAGCTATCAAAAATGAAGTATTATTTACTCTTTGTACAAGCTGTGATCATTTCACTAAGCAAATACAAAGTCACTGATTTACACTGAGAAATACTTTTTCTAAAAAGACAATAGGCTTTGTGGCGAAACGGGCTCTAAACTGGTGGAGTTATTGCTGTTTTTCTCTGAGGGTGCCTCTGTTTTCACAGGCTCAAAGCGGATGCCAGAAGGCCCCTCATGCTGGCGCATTCTTCTCCAAGGGAAGCAGAGAATGCGCTTGTAGGTGGTCCTCATGTCCTTGTCCCGAAACGAGTAGATGATGGGGTTCACCAGAGAGTTACACTCGGCCAGAACCAGGCAGTACTTTTCATATTTAAGAACCTGACATTCACCACAACTGAGACCGTCCAGTAACAGAATCACCAAACCCGGCGTCCAACAGATCACAAAGGCACCTGTAGAGAAAGTAGGGAAAAAAACGAGTTGAGTGCAGGTCCGGGTACAGTTTGGTTTATACCACAGCATGCAAAATGTTTTATACAGTAGGCCTAAACGCTGAACGAATCTGTGAACATGGGATAATGAAATTATACAACAAACAAGGTGAGATTTACACAACAAACACACACAACTGTGCACAAAATGTTTGTAGCGTTTTCAACAGTTGCCATTTAACGATTCAAAAAATGTCATGTACAAAGAATGCATTAATTTGATCAAAAAGGTGACAGTAAAGACTTCTTGCAAAAGATTTATATTTCAAATCAATTGTTCTTTTGAGCTTTTTATTCATCAAATAATCCTGAAAAAAATGTATCTTGTTTTCCACAAAAGTATTAAGCAGCACAACTGTTTCCAACACCGATAATAATAAGAAATGTTCTTGAACAGCACATCAGCATATTAGTATGATTTCTGAATGATCATGTGACACTGAAGACTTAATTAATGATGCTGAAAATTCAGCTTTGCATCACAGGAATAAATTACATTTTAAAATGCATTACAATAGAGAACAGTTATTTTCAACTGTAATAATATTTCACAATAGTACTGTTTTTACTGTATTTTTGATCAAATAAATGCAGCCTTGGTGAGCAAAAGAGACTTTAAAACATTACAAATCTTACCGACCCCCAGTGGTAGTGTATATTATTGTTCAATAGTAATTCATGTTTGTTCATTATACATTAATGTTATTTTATTAAACAAAATGTTTTTTTTGTTGTTTTTTTTAAATGGTAGAAATGAAGATTAACCAAGATTAATAAATGCTGTAAAAGTTGATTGTTAGTTTATGATACCTAACACATCAACTGATATTAACAAATGAACCCTTATTGTAAAGTTTTACCCAAGTAATAAATCATTTTCCTTACACTTTGACTACACGTGATTGTACACATCTTAAAAATATATATATTTTTAAATATTTTACGTATACAAATAATTTATAATAGTGATTATAGTTTAGATTTTTTTTTTTATATATGAATCATTAACTGATACATATCACCACATGATGTTTTACAACCTGGACTGAACTTTTCCTTGTCATGATAACATTATGATTGGCCATTCCTGAAGTTTGTGCATTATTTTTTGTTGGTTGCAACATTCTTTTAATGTAAATTGTGTCATGTGGGCTCTCATTTCAAGACACTCAATACATTTCTATATCTTCTATATTTTTAGTTTAATTATAATGTATAATTTGCATGCGATTATGCACATTTACTAACAATAGCACCACGTGCTCAGTTGATGCATTTATTTCCACACCACTGGAGTTCAATCCACCAAAATATTGTTCTGTATCCTAAAATCTTAAGGTAAGTAAAATAACTAATTCCAGCTCGAGGTACAAAATAAGCAGGTGCTAGACAAGCAAATCTGAGCCAAACTGGTTTGGTTAACTTGTTTTGGGGTTGACAGACTTGTTTTGTTTTTCCCAAAAACAAGTTAACAGAACTTCACTACACAATTAGAGATAAAGAAGACATTTTCAAATAAGTTTCCAAAACAGAAAATTAAACTTTCGCTCAGTCAGCACACAGGGAGTAATCTCAAAAACGCCTGAAGTCTACATAAGAGTCAAGGCCTTACCCAGAATCATGGACATGGTCTTCATGAGGCTGATAACAGTCTGATTGTTGGAGGGCTGATCTGTGTGCGGGGACATTTCTCGGCTCCGGCGGCGAACGTAGATGAAGATGTGCGTGTAGACGGCCACCATGATGAAGAAGGCCATGAGGTTGAGGATGGCCCAGAACACTAGGAAGCTGCGGGAATACAGTGGCGCTACCGTGCAGCAGGTAGACAGGTCACAAACACAGTTCCAGCCCATGATGGGCACCAAACCCATGAAGACGGCCACCAACCAGATGGTGAGTATCAGCATCACCACACGCCGCCTGGTCATGGTGCTGTGGAGCTGCATGGTGAAGATGGTCTGATGGCGTTCCACTGCCACCGCCAGCAGGTTGACTACAGACGCGGTCAGGCTCATGTTGATCAAAGCTCCACGAATAAACCACTCTTTGATGGTCAAACCGATGGTCCACGGCCCCGTGTGGAACACAAGGTAGAGATACGAGATGCCGGCGAAGAGGTCCGCGGCCGCCATGTTCCCAAGTAAGTAATAAATGGGATAGTGGAACTGTCGGTTGATGATTATGGCCACTATGACCAATATATTTGCCAGAATAATAAAGACACAAATTGGGAGCCCGAGACCAACCACGATAAAGTCATGAGGGCGCCAGCTCGAGCTGATGGGCTTGCCAATCTTGTTGTAGAAGAAGGACACTGAATTGTTAAAAGCCTCACAGGTTGAATTAAATAACATTATTAGAGAAGTAGTTCATGTAAATCAGTTGAGCTGTTCAGTTGTTGCCAGTTTTTCCTGATGCTGTGATCCTGATGTGATCAGCTGCCATTTGAAATAATGCTTTTACATATCAAAAATGTGCCAGTGTTGCTGCTTACAAGGAGTGCCTTTTATTGTTTTCCAACCCTAAAACACAGGAAGACGCAAGGACAACAACATTACGTCCTTATAAGTCCAACAAGTTAATAGGTTCATCTTTAACAAGAAAGTAGAGGATATGATACCAATTAGTCTTTATTAGACACGTTACGCTAGATTTGATTTCAACGCAAATTAACCGCAAACGAAGTAATGAAGTTTAGCCTCCCGTTACTATTCTAACTGCATAGTTTATTGGTTAGAATTAGCAGGGAAATCTGACTCTATGTTGTGATTGAACAGGACGTCACGTACATTAATACGTATTTAATTACAAATTATCTAATTAACATGGTGAAATGAACATTGCTTGCAGAAAGACAGCAAAACCACCATAAATTGACTTGCTTAGCCGGGGCGAAATCATGACGTCATGATTTTAGTACTGAAGTTTCATGGTTGCCAGGATATAAAAAAAAACCCGTCCAATTGCTACTAAAAACTACCGCGGACTTGGCAACACTGCAAAGTTGCGCAGGCGCTGTGAGGGGGAAACAGGGAAACTGAATTCACCGGAACACCGGAAACGCTCGTCTAGGTTTGGCGGAGCTCGTGGAGAAATCTTCTAGATGCCCTTGCTTGTGCGCCTCCCTGAAACCTGATTTGATGAAATCACCGCCCGAGGATCCAATGAACGCGAGACTATTGTTCAAAACCTTTGGTGACATATTTAAAAAGTAAATATTTTAATTCAGTTCCCAGAATCTGCTGCAGTGTATGGCAAGCCGTTTTCATATTTATTCCTTAAACCATGTGACAACCACTAGATTTCATGTCCGTTTCAATAGACAGTAATTATTCGTAACTATTAGAATATCAGTGCTATTGAAGTTTTTAAAAAATAAAAGAATATACAATGCTAGTTACTATACAATACTAACTTTTTAAGGGAATTATAAATAGACATTCTGACTTTTCATTGCATATAATTAAAGGTGCAGTAGGAGATCTTGGAAAATGCTAACATTAGCCTGATAGCACTGAAAGCAAACATCCCACCCTCCCTGCAATCGCTGTCCAAAGCCACTCCCACTGAACGCATATGCACTCACAGACCAGAATACCAGAGACAACATTACTACAATGGGCTACATCAGTGGTTCCCAATTTCAGTCATTGCATTTATTTACAGAGGTATATTATGTCACACTTCACACTTCTCTAGTAAGTTTCGTCTGTGTGTGAAGACGCTGCGTAGCGCAAATCCGTGAATGAATGTTCCGAAGTGAAGTAAACGTCACTTCACTCAGGGAGTAGAGAGCAGGGAAACGCTGGGCTACATCATGTGTCATTCACCGGTGAGAAAACTTTATAGGTTAGTACGGTTAGTAAAAGTACTACAATACCAGGAAGGAAGATCGGGTTGTTGATGTTTGTCTGCCATTCTCGCTCTGTCTGCACAGCGTGCGTGAACGCGCTGATGACGTATCCTGTCTGCGCGAACCGGGTGCGCAGAGGTATGCAAATACATACGTTGACAGGCAGGTAGAAAAGCCAATTAAAATGCTCGGACCGAGCTTTTTGATTGGATGAACATTTCTTGGTCCTACGCCTTCCACAGAATATATAAATACAGATAAATACATTTAGACCACTTAACTTGATGATTGCTATCGGGATGTGAAGAGACTTTCAACCAGCATAACAAAAAATGTTTCTGAAGACAATCATCTATTGCACCTTTAACACAGGTAAGAAATGTTACTAGCAACAACTGGGAAAGATAGTGTCTCCTAATGAAAAGTTGGAAGTAAAAATTGGATTAAATACCGACAGCAAATGGAATACAGTCAAAAGTGAAAAGTTGATATCTTAACCACCGACCCTCGTGCAATTCAATAGCAAAAATGTAAAAAATGAAATGTTACTTGTTACTATTTGGATAGTGACTAATTTAATAGATATGCTTCTTGTCATTACTATTGGAGAAAATGATTATAGTTATAATAAATGTATTAGCTTGCCATATGAGGTGAACGCATAACTAAAGCCGCAAAGAAGTTAATTAAAAAAATGTTTTTGTGACTAGGGCTTATTAAAGAGTTCACCACAAAATTTATTTTCATTTAGATTTATTTGTACATGGCAGATAAATTTAGCAGATTGTCCTGCTTTGTTGCATACAAATAAAATTGATGTTTAGACTGTCTGGCTCTGAAATCATCATATAACCATTAAAGTATCATAAATATACCATAAAAATATTACAAAAGTATCACAATAATCAGTATGACCCATGCACTATATTCAGTCTAACAAAACCATATTTTATGCGAAAAACAGACTACTCAAATTAAATTTGAGCTACAATTAGAAATGGATGTTGGCAATGACTGACAAAAAGGGTCTCAGGATAATGTTAACTGCTTTTTGTAACAAAGGTTACTATTTTTAATTGTGACATATAATCATTGTATTCAGTATGCAGCCTCCTCAAGAATCAGGGATTTTCTCAAGGAGAATTTGTTTATTGATGTCACTAATGTTGGGATAATTCAACACAATGAGCATTTAACATGCACCCAATAATCACAGGAACACTGAGCCCAAAAAAAAAAATGGAATAAACACATGAGACATTTTGATGTGGTTGTAAAATTTAGAACAGACTGTAAAACATGGCAGGCTACACTTCTGGGTAATTATGTTGGATGTTTAGTTAAACAGCACACAGGAAATCCTTAAACTGAAGAGCTCATAAAAGGCATTAATATCTAATACATGGAAGAAATATGTAAAAGTTGAACTTATAATTTAACATTTGGAAGAAAACTTTGCATATACCTATAAATATTTCCTAACATAATGATTCATACAACATACATTTCTCCCTCGCCCATGTGAGACAGTTTACTGAACAGATGTCAAACCAAACAGGGAGTTTTTTTAAATTTTATTTTACTTAATTTAAGACAAACCAGACTAAATGAAAGTAGTTATTTTGTCAGTGAAAACCAGAAAACTTGATAGAGCTAATAACTCAAAATAATTTCTTCATTGTATCAAAGGCAATCATTGATTGTGTTTTATTATGTCTTTATCCAGAACAAAGTCCCATATGAGTTTGTTGACTTTCTCAGGTTGATCTTGCTGAACCCAGTGGCTACATTCGGGAATAGTGTGAATGACAACCGGACCCCTTACATAAGGCCGTGTACCACCAGACATGTCCTCAACCAGTATATTGTCTGCCTCACCCCAAATTAACATGCAGGGCACACTGACATCCTGATGCTTGTACAGAGTGTTACTGTAGAAAGAGAAGTGCATAATAACCACTTAAAGCAATATACCACCAATGACATAGAAATTAAAGTGTGATTAATTTTAAACCTGAGAAGAGAACGGAAGTAGTTCAGAGGGGCTATGAGCCCCCTGGGCTGGGACAGCCGGTATAGGTACCCCTCCAGCTGGGTCTCAGTCAGTCATCTGGATTTGTTCCTGATGCCCAAATTCCTGCCACAAAATAGACTTCGAACCAACTATATGCACATGAGAAATACGAGTTGCAGAGAATCAGCTGTCACCACTTCTAAACTGTCACCCTTAGACTCAAACGCAAAGGACAGGAAGTTAACTACAGCTACACTTACCCAGCCATGAGGCAGGATGAGGAGCGTGCATGACAATGAGAAGTTGCACCATGTCTGGTCTGTCCAGTGCAAAATGCCATGCCAGCATCCCACCCCAGTCATGGCCCATCAATATACAACTTGTGTGACCTGTAATTAAACACATTATCATTCCAGTGGTTTATTGACTAAGGCAAAACTGGTTCACATTCAGCTGTGGCCCATCTGTATGGACAGGAGGGGCAGTGTCCCACCTGAAAGGGAAACAATTGCAAAAGAACAACTAATAAAAGATAATAATAATAATAACTAAATAAATAAATAGCCTGTAAATAGTTTCTTTGTGTCTGTTTAGTAAATAACCAAGTGCTCATGGTTACCTGGTTAATTCTGAGAATCGATGTGACTTCGTAATATTTTTTCCATACTATGGAAGTCAATGGCTACCGTCAACTGTTTGGTTACCAACATTCTTCATAATATCATTTTTGTGCTTAACAGAAGAAATAAACTCAGTTGTTTGGAACAACTTGAGAGTGAGTAAATGATGACAGAATATTCATTTTTGCCTGAACTATCCATTTATTCTAAGATTCTAAGATAATTCGGTCCCACTTTATATTAAGTGGCCTTAACGTACTTACATTTAAATTAATCATTAGGTACAATGCACTTATTGTGTACATTCTGTAATTACATTTATAATTACATTGTTGACCCATCCCTTACACCTTAACCCACCCTGAAACCTACCCATACCACCAAACCTGTCCCTAACCTTACCCGTATCACACCTCAATAGCAGCAAAAGTGTTTTGCATGCTTTGCAATACAGTATGAACACAATAAGTACATTGTACTTATTTTTTTGATGTAAGTACATAGTAGTTAAGGCCACTTAATATAAAGTGGGACTGATAATTCTGTGTATGAATTCTATGTAGGCCTATGTATGTAGAGGATGATAATCAATATTAGAGTGCCACACTCGAGCTGAATTATGCAAGGACACTCTGCCAAGAGTGTTCTGCATGTGTTGAACTGAATGTAGAAGTGCTATTAGCAGTTAATAATTGGTTAAACATATAACCTCCGGTACGACCCAGAATCTGCCCAACCTAAATTTATGGTCAGGGGCCGCTACTATAAATTTGTGATATAGTCAAAAGTACCCAGTTAATCGATGGTGTCTCTGATGTCATACAAGAGTGTCTCCAGTGAATATTCCTCCAGCCGGACGGGCGCGTCCGAATCTCCACAGCCACGCAGATCTAGCGCCACCGTGTGGTAATGACTACTGAATTTCTGTAATTGGTAACGCCCAGGAGTACCTGCAGGTCATATATTTTGTAATATAAAATTATATTTTATATAAATATAAAACAATATAATATAATATATCCAAATTGCAACAACATTCTGATATAATATAATAAAAGAATAATCAGTAACAATATTTCTGAAATGTCTGAATGCGT